GTGCTAAGCTCTACACGTTTGCTGTGCCGCCGAGACTTTCGCCGCCTTTGGAGGTCTCCCCTCCTGCTTAGCGTGGGACGTCTGGGGGGAGCTTGCCCCAAGGTTGGACTCCCGGGGGGCCTGGCGGGGCTGGCAATGCTCCGCAGGCGGATGCAGTCTCTGGGGGTTGCGTTGCTTCTCTGCGAGGTGCTGCAGAGAGAAACCTGCCCTCTCTCCCCACGTAGGAATCGCCCCCTGGGTCGCTTTACTGCGGTAAATGTTATTAAAAGCTATTAAGTTTTCTAACTGGTCTCAATTCCCCCGTCTGCGGTGGGCAGAGTCCACGAGCAGGCGGCTTTCCTTTTATTTCCTCTCCGCTCTTTATACATTCACACCCCAAAAAACGATTAAACTTTTATTATAACTTGCTGCAAAATGGCTCTGAAGCCTTCGGAGGCTGCCGCCGCAGCCGTAAACACCAACAGGGCCCCTGTTAATAAATAAATAACCACTGACGGAACGTGGCTGCGTTCTCATCTCGTTAAGGCGCTGAAATAAACTAATTTTAGCAGCGGCGGCCGATAAAATGAAAGAATCAAAGCCCACAAGAAATGTGCACTCGAGTGGTTTAAGAAGCAAAGAACAGCTGCAGCCCCTGAACGAAAGACGGGAGTTTATACATGAAAGCTGCAGGAAGAGGAGTGTTCTCAGCTAATCCCGGGGCCAGGCACTAGACCAGGATCACCTCCTGATTTGCCTGGGCCAAAGAGTGTCTCTGCCTGGCTCTGGGTGGTGCCTTAGACAGAATTCAGTCCCTCCGGCTGGGGTGGAATTTCTGTCCATCTCCGTGTCTGCAGAGCGCCCGGCACAACAGGCCCCTGGTCTCCCTGGGAGCCTGTAGGCGCGACCGGAGTGTGTGACAACTCAGTGCTGTATTGATTTAGCCTCCTGTAGCTGCTCTGTCCTGGCCTTTGGGAGGAAAGCTGGTGTGTGTTAAATACCCGCTGATGGATGGGCCTTGCTAGCGACCTGGGTCAGGGTGCTGCTCTCTGCGGTAGCAGTCCGCTCAGAGCCACCTCTCGCTCAGCCAGTGGTTTGTCTATCCAGAACCGATGCATGGGGGCAATGCGCCAGCCAGGCCGAGACACCACGCGCAGCCAAGTGAGCAAGCAAATTGCATTTGCAAAGATCTTCACACGCGTCTTGTAACAACTGCTCACCCCGGGCTACGGACACTGCTGCAGCGTGTGGCGGGGGAGCGGATGCTCACCACAGCCTGGCAGAGGAAAGCAGGAAAAGAGAGAGCCCGGGGCAGGCAGAGGTTAGGGAAATCAGGCTGCAGTGTGACCCTTCCTCACAGGACACAAAGCTGGAGATCTGCGGCCGGCGCCTGTGTTCCGCTGCTGTGCAATTACGGCAAACTTTCCTCTGCCGGACGCTGCTGCGTTACGAGTACCTGGTGTGCACGGCACAGGGAGCAGTGGCGTAGCCAGGTTCTAAGAGCAGGGGGAGCAAACATAAAAAAGGCGCCCCCCCCCGGCTCCTCCTCTGGCCGCGCCCCCGGCTCCTCCGGCCATGCCGTGCCCCCCCCCCCTTGGCTGGCTCCTCCGGCCACACTGTGGCCATGCTGTGCCCCCCCTCGCTCCTCCAGCCGCGCTGCCCCCCCATGGCTGTAGAGGAAGGCTGACGGGGTTTGAGGGGAGGTGGAGGGGAGGATGCAGGGAGGGTGGCAGAGGAAGGGGGTACGAGGGGAGGTGAAGGGGAGGATGTGGAGGGGAACAGGGGGTTTGACTTGAGGGGAGGATGTAGGGAGGGTGGCAGAGGACGGGGGTACGAGGGGAGGTGAAGGGGAGGGAAAGGCAGGGGCCCGGGGCACATGGGAGGGGTACACGGGGTATGGAGCTTGGGGAGGGGTTACCGGGGATGGGAGTGCCGTGGGCTGGGGTCCCCGGGGGTCTCTGTGCAGACGGGGCTGGAGCTGCCCCCGGGACCGGGAGATCCTGGGAGTCTGCTGCCTGCCCTTCCGCTGCTTCTTTCCGGGACCCGGCCGCTAGGCCCAGCCCAGCCCAGCCAGCAGCAGAGAGCAGCAAACCCCACTGTCACTGCCTCAGAGGGGCTCGCCGCGAGCAGTGCCAGCCCAGGCTCGGCACTGGCACTACCCCTTGGGGCAGGGGGCAGAAGGCAGCGAGCCCCGCCAGGCGCGGTCCGAGCGAGCTGCAGCCCGGCTCACCCGCTCAGCCCGGGGGCGCTGCCCTGCCTGGCGCTGCTGGGGGAGCCTGGGTGTGGGCGGGTCGTGCCGACAGGCCGCGGCGGGAGGGGGGAAGCGCTCTCCCCTCCTCGGGGGACCTTTATTCCAATGAGCCGAGGGTGGCGCCGAGGCTCCTGCTGGGAGTGACCGGCCGCGGGTCTGCCCGGTGTGGCTGCCGCGAGGAGGCGGCGGAGACCCTCCCTGCCCCGAGGGTGCCCCGGGACCCGGTCAGTGCATCAAAGTTGTCTGCAGGCGGGGAGGGGGGGGGGAGAGTTGCGGGCCGCCATGCTGCGCCCCCCTCGCTCCTCCGGCCGTGCCGCCCCCTCCCCATGGCTCCTCCAGGCGTGCTGTCCTCCCTTGCCTGCCGGAGCCCAGCACCGCCGGGTAGACCAAGCTTCAGAGCGGAGCGTGGGCTCCGCTTTTGGAAAATGTGCACCCCACTAGCTAGGCTACTGACAGGCAGGGGCAGCCCTTCGGGGGAACTGACCCTGCTCGGCCAAGGCCTCATCTAAATCCCTAAATGGGACTAGCGTGCGCTCTGGGCCTGGCCTGAGGAGGAGCGGGGCGAGGGGGGTGCCTGGGCCTGGTCCAAGGGGGAGGGTGGGCCTGGCCTGAGGGGGAGCAGGTGGGGGCGTCTGGGCCTGGCCCATGGGGCAGCAGGGATGTGTGTCTGGCCTGGCACTGGGCCCTGCAGTTTCAGTGTCACCATTTCTATGGGTACGTCGGTGTCTAGCCAGGTGCCGAGGAAGCCTGGCCCTGCCTGGGGTTTGGAGCCACTTGTCACAGGGTTTACACGCCCGTAACGCTGGGCAGTGGGAATTGCTCGTTCCCCAGCCCAGGGCGGTAGCGGCGTGAATTGCCGTTGTCCCGTCCTCCTCCCATGGGGTGTAGGGTGGGACAAGGGCACTGGGGCAGAGGCAGCCCGGAGACATCACTGCCACACCGGGAATTAAACAGCTCATGAACTCACCCCTTTCAAAGTGTGGCTGCATAAACAGAGCCAGCATCGAACCTGAGCCGGCGCGCGGGGACGAACTGGGAACCAGTGATGTATCCCGTGCTGCTTCATTTCCTCTCCCCAGCTCTCCCGCTCCCTCTGCAGCATGGACCCGCCTGTGCTGTGTGACACGTATGTTCGGGGTCAGCAGCGCGGTGTGGGGCCGGCTGTCCCAGGGCGGAGCGCCCCTCTGCAGTCCGTTCACCAGCAGCTACGCCGGCCCCGTGTGCTGGGGGCTGCTCACGCACAGAGTAGACCTGGGTGAAATTTCTCTGAAGAAATATTTTATTCAGCGAAAAATGCAGTTGTGGTCGACTTGAACTGATTTGTGACTCTGACATGAATAGTTTTGGCCACTCGTAAAAGGGCTGCAGGAGGAGGAGATGGGGGGAGGGGGGAGTGTTGCTCCCTAACCCCCTGGGCTCATGATTTCTCGGGGGTTAGGGTGCTCACCTGGGAGGTGGGAGACGCAGGTTGAAATCCTCACTCTGGAACAGACCCAAAGTCACCCCAAATTCCGCTTCCATTTGACCCAAAGTGAAACGTTTTTTTCTCTGGTCCGTTCATGGCTGTTCCAGTTGGCGATGCGCCCAGCCCTAGTAGGGAGAGACGGTTCCTTGCCCCTAACAAACACACAGGGTGACTAGATAAGACGGACAAAAGAAAAAGGGGCCCAGAGAGGCTGGGAATAGAAGGCAGATCTGCTGAGTCTCCATCCAGCGCCCTACCTGCTAATTCACGCTCCTGCCTCGGGCACAAGGCTCGCCAGCAGGTTCCAATGCGGTGCCCAGAATCTAAACCTTTGTTTAAAAAAACCAATCACAAAGCTTCTGGCTGTAACCCAATTGCCATCCACTCGTTGAGAGGAATGGATTGAAACAACCCCCTGCGCGCACACACTCCTGCCCTGTGGCTCGCGTATAACAGGCCTCATTGTCACTCACCCGGTAACCCCTTTGCACGGTGCTGGCAGCACAAACAGGCCTGGTTGTAAGTGAGAATCTGCTCCCACACTTAGTGTGATCAGAAGGAGGAGGGGAGCTGGATGCAGTGAATATGCTCCAATGAGTGACTAATGGCTGCCGATGCTGCCAGGCCAGCTGTCTGCTCACTTCCCCATCTCTCTGGTGCGGAGCGAAGATGCGTTCTCCTTGCATGCCTGTAATTCATTTAGCACAATCATCTTTTCATTATGGGCAGGAGGTGCAGAGCTGGGAAAGGGCCTCGTTAATTAAACTGAGATCAGGGAAGGGAGCAGGGCGTATCAAATCAATTCTGGCCAACTCTGTGCAGAATCCAAATGGAAAAGTCACCTGCAGCCTTCCCAGGGAAGGCAGAGGAGTGCGGCGCTAATGAGGCATCTCCCTGGAGCGCTGGTATTAAATCAGAGCTTCGTTCTGTTCCCGGGCCCTTATTAATAACACTCAGAACAATTCCGGTGGCCAACTCTTCCCCCGCTCTCGTCAGCACTGAGCTACGATTTGGGATCTATATTGCATGTTGCTGGGTTGTTTTGCACGTTGGGGAAGGAGCTGGACAATCCTGCAGGTCCTGAGCTCCGGGCTTCAGGAAGTAGAAATCATGCTGAACTTCTGCAGAACTTCAGCTTGTGTTGGAGAGAAACCCCTGGGAATGGAGCTCGAGAGAGAGAGAGCGCGTGTCCCACGAATGCACCGCGTGCGCTCGCCTGTACTGGTCCCCAGCGCTGCTCTGGGAAGGAGGGGCTGCACGACTCAGGAGAGCCCCTGCTCTCACCACTCTGTTTGGCTTTTCCAGGTGCAGAACATCTCCCAGTCCATGGAGGTGCTGGACCTGAGAACCTACCGCGACCTGCAGTACGTGCGCAACACGGAGTCCCTCATGAAGGGGCTGGATTCCAGGCTGAAGGTGGCCACTGAAAGCCAGAAAAGCCTGAACACTAAAAGCTTCCAGGTAAACCCTTTGCAGATTCCCGTTTGCCAGTGGTCTAGCTGTCTGGTACTGCTGCCCTTGGGCGCTATCGGCTACGCCAGGAGTGCCTGGAGCACAGGGCTGGGTGCCGCTGTTATGTGGATACAGCTGAGGATATGGGGCAAGAGGCAGGGAGGCGTAAGTGATGCCCAGGCCTTGGTGGGATTTGGGCATTGAGGTGGCTTTGAAAATCCCATTCTGCATCTGCTAGGAGTGCCTAGAGGCACCAACTGCGACCAGCACCCCATGGCGCCAGGTGCTGCACAGACACAGTGCGAGACAGTCCAATGGACAAGGCAGACTAAGGCCTTGTCTGTGCTCATGTCCTGCTGCTCTAACATGCTAGCCACAAACTGCCCTAGGCCCAATCGGCGCTAGGAATTTGGGGCCGTATAACTGCGTCGCTCAGGGGCGTGAAAAATCCACGCCCCCAAGCAACGTGGTTAAACCGACCTAGCCCCTGGTGTAGACAGAATTCTCCTGTCAGCCTTGCTACCGCCTCTCAGGGAGGAGAGTGCCTGCGCCGGTGGGAGACCCCTGCTGTTGGCCGAATGTAGCGGCTTCAAACGCTGCGACGGCGTGGCTGTGGCATGTCCATGTAGGCAGTTCTGTCCGTGTTAAAAGCACTTATGGTAGTGTCGCTTATTCTGCTCTCTGCTGCCTTATGTGCTTTCCTGGTGGCCTAGGCACCAACTTTCTCCGGCGCCGGTGGGTGCCTGCGCCCCCTGGCCCCGCCCCGACTCCACCCCATCCCCGGCCCCCACCCCCATTCCAACCCCATCCCCAAAGTCCCCGTGTTATACCAATAAAAACTAGCAGGATCTTATTAAAGGGGACAAGATGAAGATGCCACATTTATTATGATAAAATTTGATTTATGACCAATAACTAATATCTTAATCCTTATACACACACATTATACCTAATACACACACACACACACCCCATCAGATGTCCTGCAGCTGCTGCATAGTTACCAGTCCTGCTTGAGTTTGCAGCTTGGGTTCGTAGCTTGTGGCGGTAACTGGCCAGGAAAGCCGGGCACAAGGACGAGCTGGGTCTCTGTTGGGCATGCACTGATGCCCTTCCATGTTGGCAGCAGAATGTTACCCTCCTCCAAAGTTTTCCATCTCACCCATCCTTTTTGTAGGCTTTAGTTTGAATCCAGAATCTATAGGTCTTGCTGTGTCACGCTGCCTTCAGGTTTGGTGATTGATCACCCGTCAATTGCAGACATGACTTTCAGCCTCGGACCGGGCTTTGATCTTCCTTCTATTGTACCTTTTCTTTTTAGGGTGGATTCTTCTTACTTTGTTAGGGCTCTTGTCTGCATCTTCAGCCGCTGGTGTTTGAACTCTATTTAATCAGGCCAGGCTGGGGCTGGAGGTTGATTCCATCATCCATCCATACCTCATTCACACATCTAAACTAAACTAATAAGATTACAGCAGGGTTTGCAAAGATGAAGGTTGCAGCAAGCCCTTCCAAATGGAGTAAGCGTTTTAAAATGGGGTGTGAATTACAACATGGCAAACAGTGAACAGAAGTTCCACTGTAGGCAAGTGTAATAAATGGTGAACAGAAGTTCCAATACTGGAACAGTGCAAGTCTTAGTGATTTAAGCAGGAATTGGATTGATAGTGAAACTTACAAAGGCAGCTGACTGAACAGCTATGGCTCTTAACAAGCATCTTAACTGTTAATTAGCCAGTTATTGGGGTAACCGGTTTTATGAATGAATATTGTTTCATTCATAAAACTTTACTTATGAAGTTACATTAATAAAGTAAACAATTAAAAACAATTTCATTCATCAGTCCTACACCCGCCCTAACTCCGCCCTCTCCCTGCCCCTATTGGATCCCTTCCCCAAATCCCTGCCCCAGCCCTGCCTCTTCCCCCAGCGCACCGCATTCCCCCTCCTTCCCCCTCCCTCCCTGCCCCGCGAATCAGCTGTTTTGTGGCGCAAGCGCTGGGAGAGCGGGGGAAGAAGCAGGCCGCGGTGGTGCGCTCGCGGAGGAGGTGGAGGTGAGCTGGAGCAGGGGGGTGCGGGGCCACGGGGAGCTGCCGGTGGGTACTGAGCACCCACCAATTTTTTTCCCTGGGTGCTCCAGTCCCGGAGCACCCACAGAGTCGGCACCTATGCCTGGTGGTAGAATTGCTTCTCCACTGGAGCTTCTACCAGCAGAGAGATGTCGGTGGGAAAATCACACCTAACCAAGAAGGGGCGGGGAGTGGAATCACCGTGGCCAGGTCTCTATTCCCAGTCCAGAGCCTTAGCCACATTTAGGTGTCCTTAAATAAATGCCTGAGTCAATGACCCAGGGCTCTGTCCAAGCAAATGTGCTATTGCTACCCCGCAAGTGACAACCAGCTGCCACGTGCCATAACGGGAGCACTCTGTGACCAAACCCCGAGTGAGCACCAGGCTGATCCCTACGCCCGGGACCTTCCCGCTCCCCCTGCAAGCCCCCAGCCAGCGAATGGGGTTCTTTCTGAAGCCGTCAGCGTGAGCCTGACAAAGTGTGTTTGGGTCTCAGGAGCAGCCAGTGCCGAATGCTGAAACCCGGCCAAAGGAAGCACAGACAGAGCGGGGACCCGGAGCAGACAGTCGCAGAGACGAGACAGTGATTAAACATCTGAGCTGTAGCAAATGTCTTGGTGGGTTTAATCACAGCGGCAGGTGCCAGGCCCCCGGGACTGGAATACGATCCTGTCAAGAGGCAGGAGTTGTGGCCCAAGGACACCAGCTGGGAATCAGGGCCCTGGCGAGAAATGGAGAGAAAAGCATCATGTGATGGGAGCCGGAGGCTGAGGATTGGTCTAGGTCAGCGGCTTCCAGGAGATCCCGGCTAGCGGGCGAGCTCCTGAGGGGCGGCTGCAGGCACCAAAAATGCCTCGAAGGAGGATGAGGTAGGGTGGGGCCTTGCACCTGGTGAGTGAAATTCACCCCAGGGGATGGGCCAGCACCGGGCCTGCCCCCGTCTCCCCCAGCCCTTCACCCCGGGCAGGGCCCAGCACCAGGTCTGCCCTCCCATCTTTCACCCCAGGGGATGGGCCAGCTCTGGGTCTGAGCCTGTTGTATTAATCTGAGTGGAATAAAGGCCCCAAGAGTGACAGGTGTTAACATGACCCTGTTGCTGTCCAGGGTTCGGGGCTGGCCTGGAGACTGCAGCCTGCTCAGTGCCATGGCAAACGTGCTGGGATGAGAATTGTGCTGGGGGAAGGAATGAAACCCAAGCAAAAGGCAGTTTGAAATTGAACTGAGTGAAGATTGAAAGCAAACGTAACCCCAGCCTATCGCCATCTCTCTTCGGAGACTGGATATCAGTGAGCGTCTCATGCTGTCCAGCCCTCCGAGGTGGGGAAGGAAGCAGTGGTCAGTTCTGGGCTGGGAGCGGTGGGCACCTGGCTGCTTTTGACCAACCAGACCCAGGAGGGGGAGCAGCACTAGGCCAGTAAAGATGGGGAAATACGGCTTTTGTTCTCCGAATGCAGGGCGGCTGCTCCGTCATGGAGGGATGTGTTGGGCTGGCAGGTCACCCACAACAGATGTTCCTCTGGACCCCAGCTCACCTCGCTGGTCAGGGATGTCGTCAGGTCTCTCCACTGGTCCTTGTCTGGCTGGGAGGAGCTGGCCGGGCCGTCTCATCTCGCCATGCGGTGCCGGGCAGGGCATCTGATTCCAGGCTCAGCGAACAGCCAACGGAGAGGACAGGGGGGAAGACGGGGTGGGGGTGGGGGGGTATGGTCACACAAGGGAGGGGAAGACGAAGTAGGATCAGACATGTCCATCTGGAGTCCTCGCTGGTACAGAGATGATGGTCCTGTGTCCCCATAGGCAGGCCAGTCATCCAGGTTTAAACCGGACAGACCTGTTTTTGAAGGAGTTTGTCCCTGTCGGGTTCTGGGTCCTGCTGGGTTTAAGGCCTTTGACTGGCCCACTGCCTGGGGGCGAATTTCACCCCACACGAGCAGCGGCAACAGAAGGTGAATGCGGCAGAACGAAGCGTCTTCACGTGCCCGTGACTAGGGAGGCCCACGGATCTCAGTCAACCTGTAATTTGGCTGCCCTGACCGTGGGCGTGTTCCCATCGCCCACTCCCCAAAGACAGGCTCCCTGCACCCTCCCATGGCTGGCCTGCCCTAGGCACACCCCTGCCTGCTGCCCCCCGACTCTGCCGACTGCAGGGGGGGGACACACCTAGCTGTGAAGCAGCTAGTGCTGGTCACTCTAGATGACGGGATACTAGGGTAGATGGAGCGGTCTGGCCATCCCTGTGTCCTTGGTGCCTTTGCCAGGAACGCATAGTGCTATCGGGCTTGCGAGGTGGAGGAGGTGTCTCCCACAGAAGGGACGGGAGCTGCCCAGAGTGAGATGCTGGCTGGAAAGTTGTTTTCACATCTCTTCCTCCCTAATGAGGGAGTTGTGGCATCGTTACCCAGAGCTGCCACCTGCCTGTTAGCGAGCCGCACACATGAATATTTCATCCTGTTTTCTCCCCCGATGGTGCTTTGAACAGTCCTGCTCGGTGGAATCAAAGCGCGACAGGTGCAGACAGACCCTTCAGGAGCCCGTCATTCCTCTCTGCAGCAGAAGCGGGCGTCTATTCCGTGAGCATCGAAAGCGCTGAAAGGGGACACGGCAGCCATGTGTGCAGGGGGTGCCTTGGGGTTCAGCTGCATTTTCATTCCAGCTCGGCTAGAGATGCTCCAACAGCCGATATGTACATTCAGAACTCCCCCCTCTCCCCACCTCAGCCCCCCGACCTGGCAAACTTCAGCCGGCCTCATTAGCAGAGTCTGGACCCACGGCCTTCAGCACACGATGTTTTCAAAGCGATGCCTGATTGTGAAAGCCGCTGTTTGGGACCCCGAGTGGTGAGCTGCCTCAAAGGGACGCTGTGGTAAGCGCGTGTCCCTGGAGATCAACCGGGCCACCCAAAACTGCTAGTTGTGTGTGAAAATGTCAGTGGTTGAGC